GGTACAGACACACAGATCAATAGAACGGAATCAGGAGCCCATAAATAAACCCATGCATATAGAGTTAACTAATATTTGAGAAGGGAGCTAAGAATAAACAATGGGGAAAGGAATGTCTTCAGTAAACGGTGTTTGAAAGACTGGATATCCACAACCAAAGGAATGAAATGAGACCCCTGTATTAAATCACTGAGGAAAATTACTCTAAATGGATTAAAGGCTTAAATCTAAGACTTGAAACCATAAAATTCCTAGAAGAAAACATAACAAAATATCTTCTTGACGTTGGTCTAGGCAACGATTTTTTTTTTCATATGACTCCAAAAGCACGGGCAATAAAAGCTAAAATAAATAAATAGGACTACATCAAACTAAAATGCTTCTGCTCAGCAAATCAACAAAATGAAAAAGCAACCTGTGGAATTGGAGAAAATATTTGCGAACCATATATCAGATAAGGGGTTAATAAAAAAATATTATCGGGAACTTATACAATTCCATAGCAAAATAAACAACCAATCCAATTAAAAAATGGGCAAAGGATCTGAATAGATGTTTTTCTGAAGAATGCATGTAAATAGCAAACCAGTACATGAAAAATTACTCAAAATCACTCATCATCATGTACATGCAAATCAAAATCTCAAGGAGCTATCTCCGCATATTTGTTAGAATGGCTTTTATCCAAAAGACAAGGGATAAAACGTGCTGGTGAAGATGTGGAGAAAAGGGAACACTTGTACATTTTTGGTGGGGAGGTAATTTGTTACAGCTATGTGGAAAACAGCATGGAATTTCCTCAGAAAGTTAACTGTCATATGATCTCTCTTTGGGCTATGTTACTGAAGGAAATGAAATCAGTATCTGGAAAAGATATCTTCACCCCCATATTCACTGCAGCATTATTCACAACAGCCAAACTATTGAAACATCCAAGTGTCCATGGATGGATGAATAGATAAGGAAGATGTGGTATGTATATGTACAATGGAATATTACCCAACCATGAGAAAGAAGGAAATCCTGCCATTTACAACAACATGGATAAACATAGAGGACGTTATATTAAGTGTAATAAGCCAGAGAAAGACAAATACTTCTTGATAAATCTGATATGCAGAACCAAAAAAGAAGCAAGAAGAAGAAAAAGTCAGGTTCATAGATGCAGAGAGTAGAATGGTAGTTACCAGGGGCTGGGGAGTGGGGAAAATTGGGAGATGCTGATCCAAGGGTGTAAGACTTCAGTTATTAGATGAATAATTCTGGAGATCTAATGCACAGCTTGATGACTATAATAGTTATAATGTATATATACTTGAAATTTGGTAAGACTATAGATCTTAAGCATTCCAACAACAACAAAATGATACCTATATGAGGTGATATATGTGTTAATTAACTTGCTTTTTAGAATCATTTCACAATGTATATGTGTACCAAATCATCTCATTGTACACTTTACATATATACCATTTTGTCAATTATATTTCCAAAAAGCTAGGGAGGCAAACTGTAATAGACATACAAAAGATAAGGAGAAAAGTGTCAAAGCAAATAACTACAAAACATAATCAAATAACAAAGGAGGACATCAAAAGGGGAAGAGATTGAAAAAACTATTGCAAAACAGAAAACAAGTACCGAAATGTCAAAAGTAAATCTTCACCTATCAATAATTACTTTAAATGTAACTAGATTAAGTTCAAGTATTAAAAGGAATAGAGTACCTGAATGATTAAAAAAACAGAAAACAAATGATATATTATCTATAAAAGACTCACTTTAGTCTTAAAGAGACAAGTAGAATAAAAGTGAAGGTATGGAGAAAAATATTTCATGCAAATTACAACCAAAAGAATGCAGGCATAGCTATCGTTATATCAAAAATTTTAACTTTGTCCCAAACTGTCTCTAGCGACAAAGGTCATTATATGATGATAAAAAAGTCAATTCAACAGGAAGATGTAACAATTTTAAACATATGTGCACCTCACATTTGAACACCTAATCATATAAAGCAAACATTGACAGGTTTGAAGAGGAGAAATTGACAGCAGTACAGTAATTTTGAGTTGATTTTTGTATATGGTATCAGATAAGGGCCCAATTTTATTCTTCTGTATATGGGTATCCAGTTTTCTTAACACTATTTGTTGAAGGTACCATCCTTTCCCCAGGGTGTGTTCTTGGCATGCTTGATGAAGATCTGTTGACTGTATATGTGTGGATTTATTTCTGGATTCTCTGTCCTTTTCCATTGATCTATTTGTCTGTTTTTATGCCAATAACATACTGTTTTGATTATTGTAGCTTTGTAATATATTTTGAAATGAGGAAGTGTGATATCCTCAGCTTTGTTCTTGCTCAAGATTGCTTTGGCCATTCAGGATATTTCGTAGTTACCTATTAATTTTAGGATTGTTTTTCCCATTTCTGTAAAGAATGCCATGGGGATTTTGAGTAGGATTGTATTGAATCTGTAGGTCACTTAGGGTAGTATGGACATTTAACAATGTTGAAGACTCCAATCCATGAACACTGGATGCCTTTCTGTTTATCTGTCTTCTTTAATTTCCTTCATTCATGTATTATAATTTTCAGTGTACAAGTTGTTCACTTATTTGGTTAAGTTTATTCCTAAGCATTACATTCTTTCTGTTGTCAATGTAAATGTGATTGTTTTGTTAATTTCCTTTTCAGATAGTTTGTTGTTAGTGTGTAGAAATGTTTCTAATTTTTATATGTTGATTTTTTTCCTGTTTACTTCCTTCAACAAGTAAACAACTTGTTGAAGTTGTTTACTGGTTCTAACAGCTTTGTTCAATCTGTAGGGTTTTCTACGTATAAGATCATGTCATCTACATAGGGGGATAATTTTATTTCTTCCTTCCTAATTCGGATGGCTTTTATTTCTTTTTAAAATTTTTAATTTTGTTAATGTTTAAATTTCTTATTGAGGTAAGATTGGTTTATTACATGATATGAATTTCAGATGTATATTATTATATTATAATTTCTGTATAGACTACCTCGTGTTCACCACCAAAAGTCTAGTTGCCATCTGTCACCGTAGATTTTTGCCCATTTACCCCTTTCACCTCTATTTGTTGGCTAATTGCTCTGGCTAGGACCTCCAGTACATATTGAACAAAAATGGTGCTAGTGGGCACACTTGTCTTCCTCCTGATTGTAGAAGAATCTATCATCATTGGCCCAGACAGAGATTCTGGGTGCTTCTCAAAACTCTTTGCTCATCCAACCTGTGGTCTTTATGTTTAGCATTCCCCAGGAGTCTAGAGTAAGCCAAGTCTCATCAGTGTCCTGAGATAGGCAAGATAGAAGCCAGGCCCTTAAGGAGCAGCCAGAAAATTTGAGGTTCTAGATGTGTGGTCCAGTTCATTCTCTACTCAGGGTGAGGCTGGGAGCTGGAGTTTCTCATTTCACTCACTCTGCACTGAGGTGGGGAGAGGAGTTGTGGCAATGCATGCACACTCCTTCAAACCGCATGCTCTCTCAAGCCATTATTTTGTTCTCTGGAGCCCCTAGGCATCTAGCCAATTGTGGTCTTCGTCAGCTCTCAGAGACAGGTTAATTAGAAGACAGTTCTTCAGGCAGCAGCTGGAAAAGACGAGGGTCTAGATGCGTGATCTAACTCCTTCCATGGAGAACTGGGAGCTGGGCTTTATGATCTGCTCACTCTGCACTTGGCTGGGGGCTGAACTGTGAGATGTGCTCGCACACCCACTCATAACTGACACTTGGTCCTCTGTAGTCCCCAGGAGAATAGCATATGCTGGGCCCTTTACCTCCCAGTCAGGTGACTTAGAAGCCAGATCCTGGAGTAGCAGTTGGAAACTTGGGACACAAGATATAGGGTTCCAACCATTTGTTCCTCAAGGAGAAGCTGCGAGTTGGGCATTCCTTCCCAGCTGGATGGTGCTGTGCCAGGGGTGGGATTTATGATGAGACTGTATTGCAGTTTCTCCTACCACTTACCGTTTTCTCACTTGCCTTGTCTGCAGGAATCTCTCCACCAGATTTGTATTTCTAATAAAGGGAATTGATACACCTGCAGCTGTTAATTCGGTTTGTGTGTGGGGAGGAGAGGTCGAGCCATCCTATTCCACCATCTTACTAACTTTTCTCTATTTTTTTCAAATTTATACTTATATTGGGTTTTGTTTGCTTTTCTTTTTTAATTTCTTAAAGTGGAAACAATTCTTGATTTTCAGTCTTTTTTCTTTTCTAATATAGCTATTTAATGGTAAAATTTCCCTCTCAGCACTACCTTAGTGTCAATTCACAAAATTTTATTTAACATCTTTTTATTATCATTCAGTTAAAAGTACTTAATGTTTTCTCTTTTGCTGTCTTCTTTATCCATGGGTTATTGAATAAATGAAGCTGAGTCCTGTGCAGAGACGTAGTAAAGGACAAAAGTCTACTTTTACTGTTTCAAGTGAACTTGTACATAACTTAAGGAATCATCATTTTGGCCTAAGAAGATCAATAAATGTGTTGATCTTTGTCATCTTCATTGAACTCCTTATATCCATATAGTTTTAAGCACCCAGTTATGATCAACATTTCAAAATCTCAGGGCCAAAGGTTGTGGTTGCTGTGGTGGAAGATCCTCTGAGATCATCATCTGATGAGATACCCCAACTGGTTAACTGAGTTCTGGGGTTCCTTAAAAGATCCAAATTAGGCAATATTGAACACAAGTCCCAGGAAAGGACCCATTACTAGAAGAGCTCTGGTATACTTTAGGATCTAGATTCATTAGACCAACAGATTTCTAATAATTTCTCAGAAGAGATTCTGAGTATTTTAAATCTTGTTTTGTTCCCCCCAAATTTGAATAAATTATCTTGATTTAATATCTTTGGAAACTCATAGCCTATTTTCTGCGCACAAGAACTTGGATGATTAGGATTTTTCCAGGTTATCATTTACAAATGACATATACTTGTCTTTTCCTTATGCTTTCTCCCTTTTAGAAACATGTTCAAAATCAGATATAGAAATTGAGAATGGATTTATTTCTGAATCTGACTTTACATATCCCTTAAATAAACGAGCACGATATAAGTGTAAACCAGGATATGTAACAGCAGGTGGTAAAGCATCAGGATCAATTACATGTCTGCAAAGTGGATGGTCAGCTCAGCCCACGTGCATTAGTAAGTAATGGACTATGTTATTATTCTTCATCCCGATGATCGTTGTACAAAAGTTTACTTTAATTCTTTTTTGGGGGTCTGAGAGGGTGCCACTTGAAAAGACAAATAAAAAAACTTTGAGGAGAATATATGTTATTTTGCCTTTTAAGATTAATTACTGGTGGGGTATAATATCAGTGCATCTTTCAGTTCAACTGTTCCCTCTTTAAGACCTCCTGTGATTTCAAAACTACTTAGGAAGCCTTATGTGTATTCTGGTGTAAACTCATTTATTATTAGCTGAGACCTTTGTACCTGTTGTACCTGATTTAAGGTGATCAGACTTTCACGTCTCAGTCCTTGCTGCTAGACAGGATAGTTATTTTTTTAAGCAAAGTCATAGGTTCATAATGCATAATCTTAGACTATTTATAATTTACTTGTTTTATACTGCAGGATAGATCCACTTCTGAAAAATCCTCTCCCTTAGAAAATCTTCCTAAACATCTAATTAGTGGAGACTGAGAAACACTTCTAGATGGTACCAAATTTTTCTGTGTTGAAAGATTTCCCTGTCCCATTACCTAGATGTTTATGAAGATTTTCTAAGAACAATTTGCTCAGTTTATCTTATTATCCTAAATCCATACAATAACATTTTTTGAAATGATATTTAACATATTTAGTTTAAGTGAAAAGGATATTTAAAATATCCATTTTTGCTGTTTTCATTTCATCTTTAGTAAATCTCTTTGCCTACTATGGGCACTAGGCAAAGAAAACATGAAAAGTTGCCTCCATATCAAACTCAATTTATACTAAATTGTGATGAGCTATCCATTATAACACTCTTATTATGGAAGAGAAAATATCTCTATTAAATAAATTTTTACTAGGATGTTTTTAGTTTTGCTATCTTTTTTTAAATCTTAAGCTAGCTGGTTTCATAACACATTATAAAATTTGAAATAAATTATTTAAACCTTTATTAACAGCACTCTAGTATAATGTTAGTGAAAACTAAAACTATTTTTTAACAATTTACTTTCTTATAACTAATTATAAGCAATAGAATTGTCTCTACATTCAATCTTGATAAGTATAAAAGAACACAAAGCATTTAGGAAATTATTTGGGAAAGCAATATCAGCATGTGTGCTTTAAAAGTAGAATGTTTTAAGGCAGAGTTTTATAGAAATTTAAAAAATTTACTTGCATTGTTGAGAATTAATCTTTTATTTCAACTAATCCATTTTCTCTGGCATATATGTCATGACTGCTAATAAGTTGGGCATCTTAATTCACAAAATGCTATTCTGCTTTTCTAAAAAATGTACTGGCCTTTTTTCTTACTAATATGGGATAAAAACATGAGTATAATTGAATTGAGAAAAATATTCTTAAAATAAATTTTTCAAAAAGTATAGGTGGTGAGAAAAATACTATGTAGAAACTCTTTTTAGAGTAATAATTTCAGGACAAAGATTTATCACTGGCATTCTCAGATTATTTCCATATGATATTTAATTTATCAGCACATACTAATTGATAGAGTCTTTTATTTCCCATTGGTATGGGACATACTCATTCAGCTTGTTCATTTAATAATATTAGAAGTGAAATCTTCCATTCTATTATGCATTAGAATCTTGTGATATGCCACATATTGAGAAGGCCAGAGCCAAAAGCGATAGAACATGGTTTAAGCTCAATGACAGATTGGACTACGTGTGCCGTGATGGCTATGAGAGCAGAGATGGACGCACCACAGGTTCCATAGTTTGTGGAAATGATGGCTGGTCTGATACACCCACATGTTATGGTAAGTATTGTTTCATCAGGTATGCTTTTGTTCAAGATGAACAAAATTAACATTAATTTGTGAAAAGTTTGAATTATCAAGATTCATATTGAAGGAACAATGATTAAAATCAAGGTGTCACCTTCTGATTTATTAAAAACTTGGAGCAGAGGTTATTTTGAAGCCTGGAGATAATAATCTACCTTTAACACCGGGCATTAAAGTAATGTTTCCCATGGGCCATATGTATCATAGATTTGTGATTAAAGTATAATTGTTTTTGTTATTCCAAATGCAAACTTTCATATTATTTAAAACAGGGCGCTCATTACCAAAATTACAGTTACTTACAACTTACTCAGGTATTTTGCTTCTGGTTCAGTCTTACCCGTCCCACCATGAGTGTTAATTTCTGTAGGTGCTGAAAAGAACTTTTATTTTCTGACTTTGAAAAGTCCCGTGAACTGTTACAGGAATTTCTTTTATATTTGCCAATCAGTGGTCTGTTTTCCTTGGATGGAAATAGGGTTTGAATCTGTAGAAAACCGAGTGGATGTAGAGTGTCCAAACCAACGGAACAGTATGTGCAAAGCATTGAAAACAAAATAATATTTGGGAAATTTCAGGGTGAGTTTATTCTACTTAAGATGTGGGAGAATTTTATGAGCTGAGGCTGGAGAGGTGACAAAGGAAAGATTGTCCAGGTTATTTCAGGGCATGTTAGCATCTGTATTAATTTTATGATTGAAGAAAAGCCATGAAGGAGTTTTAAGGAAAGGAACAATATACATTTCTTTGGACTTTTGAAGGTTTTCTTTTCCTTTATGCTGTGCTTGTGATGAACAAGAGAAGATTCAGGAGTCCATGTGGGTGAGAAAGGGTGGGGATTGGGATAGGGTGATGGCTGAGAGATGCAGAGCAGAGGAAAGATTTGGGATATGTTTTGGTGGTAGAAACATAGGTAATGTTTCGAATGTTGGGTATGAAAAAGATTAAGAGGTCAAGGGACTCACATGTTTATTTGACTTTATTTTTTTGAGCAGGCAGGTAAATGGCAACGTCTTTTGGTGAAGTGGTTCTGGAAGGAGAGAGAGCACTTTGGAAGGAACATCCCAACTTTTGACTTGGACACATTATGGTTGTGTTGCCCATGGACAATCAAAATCAGATATGTAAACTACAGAGTTAGATGTGTAGGTCTAGGCAAGAGATATACATGTGGGATTATCACCATGTAAATGATGATATCACATTGGAAAAGAATAAAGAATGAAAGGAAAGGAGAGCTCAGGACTCAGCCCTGCAGCTTCCCAACATTTAGGTGTCACAGGGAAGAGGAAGAGAAGGCAAAGTAGATAGAAAAAAGGAGGACCCAGAGAATCAGAAGAAAACTGTACTAGTGAATGTTGTCACAGACATGAGGAGAAGAAATGACTGAAGGCAGAGGAAACAGACGGAGTGGTTAGTAGTGAAGCGTGTGGAGTCAGGCTGGCCGGGTTCTACTTCCGGTTCCACCACTCGCTAAGCATGTACCTTAGGTCAGCAACCACGCCTATTTGAAGCTCTCTTCACTCTTGCTTATCTGAAAAGTGTCTTAATATTTACAATTGTCATAATATTTCAAAGGATTGTTTTGATTAGTAGACTAAATTATCCTTATAAAGCTCTTGCCACAGTATCTGTCAAAAAATAAACCTAATGAATTATAATCTACTTGCATTATTATGATAAATTGAGTGGTGAACATTTCTAATTCAGTAGATATGTCCAGTTAGGAGACTGTAAAAATGTGGTGGATTTGGCTACATCAAGGCCAATAATAAGTGTAGCAAAAACAATTTTGGATGGAGTACATGTGGCAGAACCTAAATAGAATTTACTGAAGAAAAATGATTAGTAAGAAATTTCATACAGCAAGTGGGCAAAATTCTTTCAGGAAGGTTGACTGTGCCACAGAATAGGAAATTCAGAATGTTGTTAGAGGAAATTATACACTCAAGGGAGTATTGTTGTTTCTTCTCTTTTTGATGAGCAAGATTGACCTTGAGCTAACATTCGTGCCAATTTTCCTCTACTTTGTATATGGGACACCACCACAGCATGGTTTGATGAGCGGTGTGTAGGTCTTCTACTGGGTTCTGAACCTGCGAATCTTGGGCTGCTGAAGCAGAGTGCACGAACTTAACCACTACCCCACCGGGCCAGCCCAAGGGAGTATTTTTTTTTTAAAGATGGGAGACATGAGAGTAGACTGAATGCTGATGAGGATGCAGTAGAGAGGGAAGCAGGGAGACATGGAATACATGAGGCGGATAGTTCCCTATGAAGGTGGGAGAGAAAGGGAACCACATTACTCCTGTGGAAGTAATAGGGTTTGGCAGTGATGGGGCTACTTCCAACTTTTCACAGGAGGAAGGAAGGAAAATAGATGTGTAAATGTAATGCTGGGAAGAAGCAGGAGCTGATGGTTTCTATTTTCCTTTGAAATACGAGACAAAGTCATCTGAGATTGAGTGGTGCATGGGGAAAGGAGGAGAGGGCACACTAGGTAGAGTAGCAAAGGTTTCAAACAGAGACTTGTGAGAGACACACAGTGAGCTCATTATAGAGCTGAGGTAGACTTGCTTAGCAGTGTCTTGGTCCCAGTGAATTGGATTCACGCTGACAGCAAACACCTATCATGGGCTAGAAATAGGCTAGGAGAAAATGGTGAAAAATGCAAACATGGGTCTGCCTTTTGAGACCTTTCATTCCAGCATGAAAAAACCAATGAATTAAGGCAAATAACGAACGAAATGATAAAAATATTTTAAATATATTTGACATATTACTGTGTTCAAAGAAACAAAAGAATCCAAGAACTTTGAAAATAAGGGAGGATGGATGGATGTACTTTATATAGGAAGGCATCTATGCAAAGAAAGGGTGACAGCCATTCAGGATAGAGATAGGGGTCTGTCCACAGCTGAGGCAGCAAAGCACTTGAGCTATTTAAACAATTCAAAGATCATAAAGCCTGGAGTCTGGATTGAGAGGGGGAGAGAGATATAAGATGGCATTGGAAGTGCAGGCAAGGGATGGATTGGAAAGAGTTTGGATTTTATTCTAAGTAAAGTGGAAAGCTTTCAAGATGATCACGAATTTCGTTTCTGGGATTAGAGGCAGATCCAGGTTTTATGAAGCCAGAAGCTTTTACATTTTGAGGGGCCTTCTTTAAAAAAGAATGCAAAATCATGACCATATAATTCTGCTGGTGTTTCCAACGTCACCAGATGACAGGAAACATGAAGGAGAAGAAGTTGGAGTGACAGAGACAGCAGTGGAAACTGATGTGGCCAACATGGCTTTCTATTGCAAATTTTATAAAAACTTATGACCTTGTGAACACATTGCTAGGAATTCTCCAGCACGGTGTAGGCCTCCAAACATCAAATGAACAAATCACAGTTTACTAGTCTTTTCAAATAACTTCCCTCAAACATGTAGCAGAAAAGTGCAACCAGATTGGCTGATATCTGAGTTTATTTCCAATATCCTGGGTGTTCTCTCCTTTGGGGAGGGATTTCCAAATAATAGTTGCTGTCATAAGCCACTTAAGCCCAACACTGTTTACAGCAATCTGAAATAAATGTACACGTCAGAGTAAAAAATTCATACTCACGTTTCCAAGCATCAGTGCTACTATTTAGGATTTTGAATTTGGATAAAGACAAATATCTCTAATTCAGAGTATGCCCCTTCAAAATCTTTAAATCACATTTCTTAAGTCATTATCTTTATATAAATATAACAGTTATAAAATAGTCAACAGCCAAGCTCTGTTGTTGTTGTTGTTAAGGCAGTGTTTTTCATAATGTGATGCTCCGGATAATTTATGTAAAATGAGCAGATAATATACAAACAAAGACACATACAAATAAAAGAATTGCTATGTAGAAGATTGGAATAGAATTTTAGGAGAGGAATCCAAGTGGTTTTTGTTAAGTGTTACCTTCTCAACTCAACTTGAAGACTCAACATTAAAACAAAAACAAAAGCAAATTTATTGAGTTATTTTTCTGGCATTAGTTGTAAAAATGTTAACACGCCTAATTTTATGAGTTTTAGTTAGTAAAAAATTTCTTTTATTATGACTCTAATTTTTAAATTCATTTTTAATTTTATACATTAATTTGCAAGATGGAAAAATTCTAAATAAGAAAAATGCATTTTTCATAATATTTAGCAATGTCACAAATTTCACAAGTTTTAAGGGATATTTTACACATTTCTTATTTGAATCAGAATAATTAACAATTTATTAGTAGCTATTATAAATTGTAGGTATAATAAGAATAGATATTTGTATATTATAGAAATATTCAGAATACCTAGAATACACCCAGCTATACGGCCTCGAACATGTTTCTTCATTTGTTCAAGTTTCAATTTGATTTCTGAACATACAGAATATTAATCAAGCAGTGTTTAATGTTCCTCTAACTAAAATGCATTTAGAAATGCCTCTTGTGTGTGTTCTGGTTTCCAAATAACTTGACACAAAATTACCAATTATTTATAGGTGTACAATTTAAAAATTGTAGCATTCGTTTTTTTGAATGTGGGAGAATACTTTTATGTTTCGAGAGTACAGAAAATGTAACATTAAATTTTATAAATGTCAGTGATAAAATCAGATCTAGTATAAGTAAGTTGACTTTACAAATATACTTTCTGGGTACAAATATCACTGTTCAATACCTTAATATTGCTCAAAGAGTCTCATATGGATTTAGAAGTGTATAAAACGTAAATGTAGCATTTTTCTAGGAAGAGGATTTTGTCTGGTGCCCCTCTGTATATGCAGTTCCCTGCACCTAATTTTTACATGACAAATATAAAATTTAGTTTGGCAGTGATTATATATTCTGATTAAATTATTTGACTTTGTTTATAGAAAAAGAATGCAGTATTCCCCAAATAGACAGCTTATTAAATGTTGAGCCCAAGAAACGCACTTACAAAGTTGGAGATGTACTGAAATTCTCCTGCAGACAAAGACGTCTAAGAGTTGGAGCAGATTCAATTCAGTGCTACCACTTTGGATGGTCCCCTGATTTTCCAATATGTAAAGGTGAATATGTATCTCGCAATTGCTGAAACAAGAATTGGAACTTTGGATATCAACTTTTTCTCCTCTCAATTTTCTGTTTGTTTCCAGTGTGTCTATAATCTAATGCATTAAGCCAGAGGTATACCTGTGAAGGACATGTGTTCCATAGAAGATACTACAGATTTCCTTCTTTGAGAAATTAATCTCTAGTTGTTTCTTGTGATATGTAGTGGAAGTCTCCATAGATACATACATGGTGTCTGACGTTGGAGGGATTTCTTTTGTTACTTTTCCTTTTGCCTACAAATCCACCATTAATATTGGACATTTTAGATAGCGTGGCCCTGACAACAAGTTTCATTGACTATGTCTAAAGAATATTCAAGGGGTTTCTAGTCGATTCAATCTTGTGTATGGCTTAATCAAAGCTGAAATATGTTTATCAAATGCTTGCTCCAAATGGTGGTATTTTTTCAGAAAGTTTTCATAAAATGTTTTTGTGGAATATGAATATTGCTATAATTTACACAACCATATTCATTAAGTGGTTTACATACATCTTTACAACATCTAGATTATTGAACCTATTTTCTGGTTTTAAATATAATTCCAATATGCTAGTTCAATAGTATAAGTAATAGACCTGGGAAACAAGAACCTGGTGTAAACTCCATTGTTTGGTCATTGTTTAAGGATGCTCTCATAAATTATATAAGAAATAATAAATAAATTAAGGAAAAACATCTTTCCGTTTTACTGGAATTTTAAGTTGAAAAAATAGACAATTTAAGCATTAATTACACAGTATTTCTACTCTAGAGCATGTACGGGCGTGTGGTTCACCCCCTTCACTCCCCAATGGAGAAGTTAAAGAAACACAGAAAGAGGAATATGGACACAGCGAAGAGGTGGAATATGTTTGCAATCCTAGATTTCTGTTGAAGGGTTCTAACAAAA